GGAGGAGGGGCTGTGGTGGAGGGGCAGGGGCGAGGAGGGCGTCTCACGTTGCAGGAGTTCTTCTTGGAGTCCGGGATGCCAGCGCACAGCATGTTCTTGCCCAGCAGGTCCTTGTACACCTTGCTGCAGTTGTTGCGCGAGATGAGATTGACATCCACGCACATGAGCTGCAGCGGGAAGGTGGCTGTAGACAGTGAGAAGGGCCTTCAGTCAGAAGCCTGAGGCTGGGGACAGCCCTGGGCTGGGGCCTGGGACCCTGAGACTAAGAGAGCAGGGGCTGGGGGCCAGGACTCTTGGTCTGAGGGAGGAGGGCTGGGGGCCAGGACTCCTGGTCTGAGGGAGGAGGAGGGCTGGGGGTCAGGACTCCTGGTCTGAGGGAGGAGGGGCTGGGGGCCAGGACTCTTGGTCTGAGGGAGGAGGGCTGGGGGCCAGGACTCCTGGTCTGAGGGCTGGGGGTCAGGACTCCTGGTCTGAGGGAGGAGGGCTGGGGGTCAGGACTCCTGGTCTGAGGGAGGAGGGCTGGGGGTCAGGACTCCTGTAAGCCCAAGGCATCATCGTCTACTCGACCTTCCTAATGCTGCAACCCTTTCATACAGCTCCTCATGTGGTGGTGACACCCCCCCCCAACCATAAAATTATTTTCGTTGCTACTTCCTCACTGTGATTTTGCTACTGTTACGAATGGGGGGTCACCTGTGAAAGGGTCGTTTCACCCCCAAAGGTTGAATACTGTTGGTTTACTGCAATATCCTGTTACATCAAATATTACTTCCAAAAAAAAAATCCCCAAACATGGATGCACAACTCCCTCCACCCAATCAAACTCACTGCCATCGAGCCAATTCTGACTCATAGTAGAGTGACCCCGGCCCAGGGTTTCCAAGACTGTAAATCTTTACAGGAGCAGGCAGCCTCGTCCCCCACCTCCCGCCCTCCCACCTCCTCCCAGTGCCCAGTGACTGATGGGTCTGAACCCCAGACTTTGCAGCAACCCCCGCCCCCCCACACTGACCCACAGTGTCACCGACATGAACAGAATAGCACAATGTTGGATAAACGGGAACTGGGCAGCCCTAGAGGGGCTGTTGGGGAGGCCAACGCAGAGGGGCGGTGGGGTCGGGATCAGAAAACGAATCTGCCCTTTATTTCAAATGGTGATATGCTATCGCTTCTCAGCCTTTCGGCTAACATCAAGTGAAAACGATGATAAGCTGTTCTGGATTTGGTTTTCAAAGATTCCACTAAAATATGGTTTTGATGACCAGAGTCCTTGGCGCCTCCTGACAGTGTTTGCCTGAGGTGCTC